GGCCTCTCCTCCCTTCTGCAGCATCTCTGAAGCAATTTACTATCTTCTTAGCTGCAGCTGCTTCTCTGTGAGGTTGGATTGGGGTCCTAAAGGACATGGGAGAAGTACAATCATGAGCCACATAACAGTGTTTTGGAAAATGATACATGACTGACAGTGGTCTGACACCATAAGATTATAATACCATATTTTTACTGAACTTTTCCTATGTTTAGGTAAGTTTTGATATACAAATACCATTGTTTTACAATTTCTTATAGTATTCCCTATAGTAACATGCTGTGCAAATTTGTAGCCCAAGAGCAATAGACTATACCTTAGAGTCTAGGTATGTTGTAGGCTATACCATCTAGGTTTGTGTAAGTACACTCTACAATGTTTGCACAATGATAAAATTGCCTAAGGATGCATTTCTCGGAACATATCCTGTTGTTAAGCAATGCATGACTGTATAGATCAGGGCTTATACTGAGAACCAAGTGGTGGTTCTCAACCTTGACTGCACTATGAAATCGCCTGGGAGCTTAAAAATTACTGGTACCGGGATCAAAACCCCAGAGATTCTGATTTAATTGGTCAGGGGTGTGCCTAGGCATCACAATTTCTAAAAACTCCTCAGGCAATTTTAATGCATAGCTTAGGTTGAAAACCATTATTAATGGGTGGGTTACAATTGCAATGAAAACCAGGTTTGTGTAGGAGGTTGCTGTGCTGAGCAGTGTGACAACGTGGAGGGTAAGAATATAATTGGGATAATGTTGCCTTGGTAACGAGAGAATTTTCAGGAAGCCAGAATTACCTAGGTAAATTTGAGGAAAAATTTCTTCATGCTCCACTCCCTGTCCTAGTCTGATTTGTGCCTAATAGCTAGATAAGAGCTGGAATATTAGCTCTTATCTAATAAGAGCTAATTATTAGTGTTATCTCCTTTTATGTCTTTATTCAGAGATCTCAACTGTGTTTTGCTTTTGCTAAAGAAGAATCATTCTAGAGAGCCTTTCCCGTAGTTACTTTTCCACTTCGTACCTTATCTGTTCAAAGAGTCCTTTCTCTGAGTCTCTCTGGAGAGTCTCCTTTGTGCCCAGGAAGACCTCTTATGTGTAGGAGGTATCCTCCCCTAGCCCAGCCCAGCGTAGCTCTGAAGAGCAGTCCCACAAAATTGGCTGTCATCTGAGCTGGCTAGATGATATGAGTGGTAGCATAGGGAAAGGTCCTGCAGTGGTGGGGAAGAATGTTAGGAACATTTTTCTAAAGGAGATGTAACTGGCTTCAGGAGGGCAGGTCTCCTTAGATAGAGCTATAGATCCAGGTGCTGGGTCTTTGAGTAAAATTTTTACAGTGGGTGTGGTCCTGTTTTCCAAGAGAGGAATTAATATCAAATATTTCTAGGAGAGAAATTATCCCAAATATTGATGTTGAGCTCTTTTGTGTTAGGGGCTGTGCCAGATACTTTAAATTCATTCTATTAGTTGATCCATTTGGTATCCTCTTGAAGTAGTTACTACTATTATCTCATTTTACAAGTGGAGTAACAGGCTCAGAGAGGTTAAGGCATATGGTGTGTTTATAGAGGATCTAGGATTCAGGTAGAAGTCTGCTTGACTGCACCTTTAACCTGTTGCTCACTTTAGTGTGTGGTGGGAGGGGTGTCTGCCAGATGGAAAGTACCAAGTGGTTTAGTGAAAAGGAAATGGTCAGGATAAGAGAGGAGCCACGATGAACCAAATCAGAAACCCCAGGTTTCTTACTAAGACAAGTGAAACCAAGTTTTTTCCTTCTAATGCCCCTTTAGCACATTTTTATTATGGTTGACAAAAAGAGGTCACCTGGTATAGTATAGCTGCACCTCCGTTCTTTCCAGGAAAGAATTCTGAGTGAGGCAGGTGGAAATAGAGAGAGACATACATGAGGACAAGAGTCACAGGTATGTGATAAAACCGTCAAATGGTGCAAGGAGACAGAGATGCAGCAGTACAGAGACAATGAGAGTGACTGATAGAGAATGATGTACATCCAGATCCCGAGGGGATTCAAGAATGAGAAGGGGAGGGATGAAGTCGGTGCAGGTATGGTGGACTGTGGTGACTTTACCACTATGGAATCTACGCATATAACAAAATTGCACTTGTACCCTTTGAATTTATACAAATTTTAAAAAAAGAACAAGGAGGATCTCTTTAGGACTTTTGGGAGAGTGGCTTAGAGGGGAAATTGCGACTGAAAACTTCTGACTGATTAACTTTTCAGTTAGAAACCCATACCTTCTTCTGCCACCTTACTCTTGCTCTCTGATTTTCCCGATTCCCTAGGATCCCAAAATTCCATACTGATCTACGCCAACACTAAGTAAGTCTGTCTTTTGTTTTGACTCAGAGTGATTGAGACTAAAAGTTACTGAAGGAAAATGGATGACAGCTGGGTCCTGGATGGAGCTGGTAAGCCTAAGGGCTGGGCTCTTTGGGCCATATCCTGCTTATAAGATTTGCCTCTGGTGCGGCATGAGGGACAGACCATTTGCAGGATATCTGAGGGTGAATGGAGAGGATGAGAATGGAGAGGATGAGAATGGAGAGGATGAATGCATGAGGGGAACAAACAGATGGGTCTTTTATCCAGAGAACATGAAGTTCTCTGTATGAACCTGTAGGGCTGTATAGAATAGTATTGACAACAAAGACTTTAGAGTGACAAAGAGCACTAACAAGCCTCTTCATGTCTCTCAGACTGCAAGGATAATCACACAGACCCCCTCATATCTTATTTGAAATTTTTAGGGACAGATATTTTGGAATTCAGATTTTTTCAGATTATAGAAAAGGAATATGATACATATATATTAAGGACTACCCCATTGGGATTCAGGACAGTGCCCCATAATCAAACACATCAACATTTCTGCAGTTAGATGTATGAATATTCACACTAAATGAGATAAATAAAGATAAGTAAGATCATGATGGTTGAGGTGTCAGGTTTTGGGCCAAAGTTATAAATGAAAATTGTTTCTTCAGAGGTTTTTTAAAAAAATTTTGGGAATTATGGATGAGGGATTGTGGGCTTATAATTCTCAGGTTGTTATGAGGAATGAGAGTGTGGTAAAGCTCTTGAAACACATCACATGGTAGGTATGTATGAAATCTCTATTTGGAACAAGATACAAATGTCCAAGGGAATGGACTTTTAGCTTGAAGGAAGAAAGTTGCTGCAATGGACAACGTACAGCTCAGGAACCGGCTACTGTGGAAGTTGCGCACAACCAGAGGTTGAAGGTGCCTTAGAAGAGAGTTTTCCTGTGGTGGGAGGGTGACAAAATTCATTGTTTATGAACGTTGGCTGCAGATGATTTCCCTTTCATGTATCAGAGGGGAAAGGCAAAAAATGGTATACCTGTATGTATGTGAGACACGGGATTATCACACATATATATATTTATAATCAATAAATATATTACTGCATATATCCTTGTTCACATCTCGATTATTTTCTTAGGATAGATTTATTAAGGAGGAATTTATTTATTTTTTGAGACAGTGGTGCGATCATAGCTCACTTTATTGCAGGCTGAGTGGTACGATAGCTCACTGCAATAAAGGGGAATTTAAGAGAAGGATATGAACATCTTCAAAACTTATGGCTCATTAGGATTAGAATTGTGTCAGTTATCTGCAAAATCATTGCTCGGAGGCCATTTAAACTCAGAACCTCTTGAAAATGAATGAGCCCACACTTAGGTTGATTGTAGATTTTCTCTGTGTCTACTTGTATGTATACAGTGTGACGATGCCTCTGAAAAATCATACAGAACTTCTGCGCTCTTTAGTCCTTGTTACTGATGACCTGGTAAGACTCAGTGTGGCACCAGGGATAGCATCATCTACTTTTTCTGATCTGCAGCCTCCTCACCTGGGTGGTGTCCCATGGTGCTTGGTCCAGCTATCTGTGCTGAGTGGACTGGGTTGCTCCTGGCTTCAGGTCTTCATGGCCAACTCCAGTACCTGTGGTTGTGATCGATTTGCTGTAGAGCTTGGGTTTGCCTTTGCAGTCTGCAGCTTTTTCTGATCTCGTAACAGCGACTCCCTGCCTTCTGTCAGATTATACTTATTCTGAACTCCATGATGGCATGAAAGACCTTTTGTTATGTAATGTCCCTGTCAGTGTGGTGTCTTAGCTGGAAATGAATCCCCTGTTGGGCAACACCACCACACTTCCTGTTCTTGCTGCCCTGGCAGTTACAGAAGTGTGAAATATTTCATTATACTGCACTAACATCACATGCTTCTAGTGATGTTGGCCAGGACAAATGGAGGTGCTGATGGGGATTTTATCTGGGTATTGTACCTTCTTGTTGAGGGTGCACAAAAGGGCAGATTGTGATTGCAGTGATTTTCTGGGATATCAACATTTCTTTCAGTTGGACTCCTGACCTCTGAAGCTGCAGTCACAGAGAAGAAGTTCTCGCTGTTAATTTTGGGGGCTTTAGTGGGAGTTGGGGGAAGGAGGAATAGTAATTACACATGAGACCAAAAGAGGATTCTTTGAATTTGAAGTGGCCAGACTGGTACCACAGGGCACATTATTTAGATTATCAGAAGGTGGGAGATTAGCCTGTGTAACTCACTTCCTGAGAGCAGGCTGAAAAAATCTGGCTCCGGGAATAGAGAGGGCTCTGATTCCAGACAGGTACCCAAGCACTTGACTCCAGAGACAGTGCCACCCTCTGCAGCAGTGCCAAGCACTTCCCTCAAATTTGGGATCTGTAGAGGAGCTTTTGTGTGGGAACATGGGCAGAATTAGGTTGAAATAATGGAGGTGGGGAGCAGGAAAGGGAGTTAAGTTAGATTTTGTTTATTATGATCCTACACTAATTTTTCCTGCATGGTAATGTTTAAGTCAAAGTCTACAGATGTCAGTATTTTACATAGTAGGGACTCCACAGCAAGTACCTGTTAAGTGATGATAACAGTCATATGCCGACAGTGGCTGAAGATAACATAATCCACACTCCAGAATCCCCTCCAAGTGTCTCCCCTCCTTCACTCTCAGGCTCCATTGTTAGCACTGGTCATCACAACAGGCTTTTTCTGAATCTGAAGGTTTCCAGGAGTCGGTCCCTGATCTGCTTGGTGCGGGCCCCGTAGATGAGGGGGTTGAGGGCAGGTGGCAGCAGCAAGTAGATGTTGGAAAGAAGGATGTGCACAGGCTTTGGGACAGTGTGATGACCAAAGTGGTGTGTGAGGTAGGAGAAGAGACCAGGTATATAGAAGGCCAGAATGACACAAATGTGAGAAGTGCATGTACCAAAGGCCTTGGCACAGGCCTCCCGGGTAGGCAGCTGCAGCACAGCATGGGCAATGAGTCCATAGGAGCCAGTGATACCCAGAATATCCATACCTGAGATGGCCAGTGAAAGTGCCAGACCATATAAGTTGTTGGCCTGTGTGTTACCCACCACCAGCTCTACCACCGCCATGTGTGCACAATAGGTATGGCCTATGGTCTTGGCTTGGAAGTGCTCAAACTTTGCCACCAGCAGTGGGAAAGGCACAACAATAGCCACAGCTTTCAGTGCCAGTGCCAGGGCTGCAAAACCCACACGGGCTTTGGTGACCAGGACAGAGTAGTGCAGTGGACACCCTATTGCCACAGCACGATCACAGGCCATGGCCAAAAGCACACCGGATTCCATGGCAGTCAGTGCATGTACAAAGAACATCTGGACCAGGCACATAGCATATGGCACAGATTGGGGCCCAAGCCACAGTACAGCCAACAACCCTGGAGCTATAGATGTGGCTAAGCCCAGATCTGTGGCTGCCAACACGGCCAGGAGTAGAAACATGGGCTGCTGCACTGTGGAGTCTATCCATATCACTGCCAACAGTGCTCCATTGCCCAGCAGGGCCAGCAGATAAATGGGCCCAAAGACCAGTGTCAGCCAAGTCTGGGTACTTCCTAGCCCTGGAAAGCCAGTCAGTATGAAGAAGGTTGGGCATAGGAAGGTGGAATTGAGTTGTAGATTTTCTGCCATTCTGTGGTGGGCACAACTTGAGGGCTTATAGGGGCATGACTCCTGATAGGAAAGACAAGGGGAGAGATTTTGGGGGTGTCACAGTGGCACAAACCCATCCATGGCATACGTGTAGGAGTAGTGCAGGGCTGACAGGATCACAGGGTTATAACTTTTGGTTAGGGGAGGTTTGGATGGATAATTAAGGTCACGATTCTAGCTAAGAGAGGAAGCGGTAGGGAGGAAGAGACTGACTGCTGCAGTGGCTGGTATAGATAGCCAGAGAGAGCTTTCTAATTGGGTGTCAGCAAAGGGTGGAGCTGAGATGAATGCTTTTCTTCCTCAGAGTCCAAATGGAGTCAGTCTCAGTCTCTATATGCCAGTGCTGGGTGGGGATCAGGCTTCTGGCTGTCCTGTCCCTCCCTGTGTATCCTTGGATAAGACCACTGAACCTCACCTTCTTCAGCTGTGTAGAGCTTGTGGGTACAGTGATATTAAGGTTTGCCCAGCTCTAACATTCTGTACACCAACCATCCAAGAAGAGAGGAGGCAGAGTAGAAAGAAAGGGAGAAACTAGTAGGAGGCAGGTGGAATAGGGAGTGAATCTGGGAGGTTGGTGTGGCAAGAGAAAACTTGCTGGGTTTTAGGGGTTCAGGGTGCTTACATTCTGAACTTGATGCTGAACACCAGCTGCAGAGTTGAAGTTGGGGCTGAGGAGCAACGGAGAGAGATGGCAGTATGAAATGGGACTTTTCTTCTCCATTTCCTTTCCTTCTTCATGATACAAAAGTGAGTCCCACTAGAGTCCCATTCCTGGCATGCCAGAGGGAGGTAGTGGAGGTGACGTAAAGGGAGAAAATGACACTCAACTCAGAGCTAACAGCCATCTGAGGAAGAAGCATCTCTAACGTTGGAGGAGGCAGGATGAGTAGACTGACTTCTCCCAGGATCTAGCCCACCTAAGAAGCTTAACACATGTTGAGTGGATAAATGAATGAGGAAGATATCAGCAGCAGAAAGCTTGACTGGAAGAGATCTTGAGCACTGTGTGTCAGCAGCTTCTTTTCGCTTTAACTGGTGCCTGTGGGGCTCTTTATGTGGCTGTATTACCTGCTTCCCTCAGGGCCCTTCTCCCTCCTGCCTGTGCCACATTAACTCTTTTTTAACCTCTTTGCTCAGTGCTGATGGGCTGGTGACTCAGGAATTAGATTAAGGAGGCAGGGATGGGGGCAAGCCAGGAAAGAGACTATAGGGTGGAAAGATCTGCGAAAGGAACACTTTCTCAGGGAGGTCTTTGCTGGCTCACTGAAGTCCAGGAGAAAATTCCTTGCTTTATTCTTTAATAGCATCTATCCCACTCTGTTGTAATTTCTTGTCTCTCACTTCCCCACTAGACCAAAAGAGTTGCAGATACTGCTTTTTATTAGCCACAGTGTCTCCACTGCTTACCACAATGTCTGGCATGTAGTTGGCTGTGAATAAATATATATTGCTTTTAATTATGGGACAGAATGCTAGCCCAAACAGCCTCTGCTGACTAGTAGGGGCTCCTACAGTTTCAGGAGCCTTAAGTATCCATGAAGAAGAAGTGTTATTTACCATCAACCACAAGTCTACTGAATACAGTTCTTTCTATTATAAGGAAACATATTCTTAAACTAACCACACTATGTGAATCCATGCAATAAAGACCATAGGGCTTATTAGAAAAATGAAGATGGGGCACAACACTCAAAAACTTCGTCAGTGACATATTTCACACAAAGATGGGCTGGGTGTGGTGACTTACACCTATAATCCCAGCACATTGGGAGACCAAGACAGGAGGATCACTTGAACCCAGGAGTTTGAGACCAGTCTGTGCAACACAGTCAGAGCCCATCTCTACAAGAAAATTTAAAAATTAGCCAAGCATGGTGACATGCACCGGTACTTCTACCTACTGGAGAGGAGAGGCAGGAGGATCACCTGATCCCAGGAGTTCAAAGCTACAGTGAGCTATAACCATGCCATGTGCTCCAGCCTGGGTGACAGAGTGAGACCCTGTCTGTAAAAAAACAAATAAAATGAAATTGGACAGAAAATTGTGTGGATGGGTGTGGCTGATATCACAAGTGGTGAACTGAAATAACTGATATATGTTTGAGGTGTGGGCGTGTGTGCCTGTTGAGCTTTCTTATTCAGCTTGGTTCATTTAGCTGGGTTCAGTTTTCTGTGTTTACCTAGTTTCTTGAAAGTGGAGTTACATACAAACAAACATGAAATTCACATTATTATTAGTTCCCTAATACATGTATCAGTTGTCTTTGCACAAATTTGTATTTCAAAACTACCATTACAGCAGAACTAGTTGAATCTCTTTTCTGCTTGGCTTTGTGTCATGTGTTGAGGATACAGTGGCAATAAGAATACCCTGTTGCTCTCAAGGAGTTCACAGTCTAGTGGACGCAGTGATATAAACAGTTGTTGAAGGATGATTAAGGTAATTGCCTTAACTCACGTCAATACCAGATATGATGGCAGCACAGAGAAAGAAGATATTCACTCTTCCTGGGGGAGTCAGGGAAATCTCTGAATCATAGTAATGGTTAAAAGGAGTTTAACCTGAGGAGTTTCCTGTGTACATGCACTGCTCTAAGCCCTAACCTCACAGCAGTCACTTGAGGTGGGTACAATTCTTTCTTCCATTTTACAAAAGAAACTAAGAGATAGACATTAACTTGGCCAAGGTCATACAGCTAGTAAATAGCAGAGTTAGGATACTGACTTGGTCTGACTCTAGCATACTTGCTGTTAGGCACTACCTCAAAAATTGCAGCTGAAGTTTAGAACTGAGAAGGAATTTTTAGAATAGTTGGAGCAAAATGCACCTATTCCTAGGAGAAGGAGTTCAGGAGACTTTGTGATTGGCAGGTGATCCTAGGATTGCTGAATGGAGAGATATACAAAGAGCTGTAATTATTTGACATTAAATGGTGAGCTCTCATCCATTCAGGGAGGAGAGGAGCACTGAGCAGGTGGGAGCAGTGGGTTAAGAACCATGAAGGAGAGGGTTAAGAAAAAGTGCTCTTGTCTCAAGAGAACACTAATGGAACATTTGGCTGTCTTGGGACACTTGCTCTTTGTGCAAAGATTGTTTGTAAGATAAATGACAGAATCCATATGCCCAACAAGTCCAAATTTGAAGTCATTAAGTTCTTGGAAATCTACTGTATTATGCATTTCCCATTCTCCAGTAATCCAAGATACACTGGGAGATATCATTGACTTTGTCTTTAGAAGATTCCTTAGTTAGTCTCCCAAGCTCCAGTTCATACTTATAAAAGCTATCTAAGCACATCTTGGGAGCCAACTGGCTGGTCTTTTCTTGTGTTTTTTACCATTAGAGGAGGGGGTTTGACACCTGTGACCTTGTGGGGGCTGTTTGCCAGAGCCTACTCTCCAGAGCAGGCTGCCAGCTCTCTGTGAGGAGTAGGGTGGGGTGGGGAGAGGGGAGTCTCATTGGACTGTTAGACTGGCATGGAAAAATAGGATAGGACAGTTCTGTTTGGAGATTGACTCTGATTTTCTCACATTTTTGGCTAATGCAGCTACGACCAACATCTATAGAATAGGGTTTTTAGATAATAGCTGTGTCCATGTGGGCCTGTTCTATTGTTTTACACTTAAAATGATCCATGAGCAATAACACATATGAATGGCTTATCACTTTACACAATAAGTTAGAGATCAGAAATCTTGGGTTTTAGTGGTGTCATACAGCACTAAATCCTCTTCTAGAAACCTACTAAAGCAAACTCAATTGTCAAATCCCTGTTCCTAGGTCAGTATGAGATCCTTCTGTGACTACTGGCACCATAGTAGCCTAGACCTCCTTCCCTCAGTTTCCAGAACCCATAAGCCCAACAAGTCCAAATTTGAAGTCATTAAGTTCTTATAAATCTACTGTATTATGCATTTCCCATTCTCCAGTAATTCAAGATACACTGGGAGATATCATTAACTTTGTCTTTAGAAGGTTCCTTGATTAGTCTCCCAAGCTCCAGTTATAGAAGCTATCTAAGCACATCTTGGGAGCCAACTGGCTGGTCTTTTCCTGTGGCATTTACCATTAGAGGAGGGGATTTGATACCTGTGACCTTGTAGGAGATAGATTATAGAGATACCCTGTAAGATCAGGTTTGCCCTACCCTATGGAGATGTGGAAGGAGTGGTGGAACCACTATGCCCATTCTTCTAGCTTTAGTTTTCCTCCTCTACCTCATGCTTTCCAGTCCTTCCATGACCAGGTCCTTAGTATTCCATAAAGCTCTGGAGCACTGGGCATCCCTGGTTCCAAGGAGGATAGTAGCTGTGCTTGCATTGAAGTTGTAGATTTGAGAGGGGAAGTGTTCTCTTTCTCCATTATGATAAGAATCTTCCAGAAGTCAGGTTATGGTAGCAGTATGGAATAGATCACATCTAGTTTTTAATCAAACCTCTTTTAATCTTGTCTACTCTCCATATCCATATCTCCTTCCTCTGCAATAGGGTCATTCCTTCCAGTCCCAGAATATCTGGGACTGACTTTGACCATATATAGAAGTGACTCTATGCATGCTGAGGTCACAGTTGCCATGTTTGTTTCCAAGGCAACATTATACCTGCAAAGTTGGGTTAGGACCCTGAAACTCCCTTAACTTAGCAAATTGTTCTATTCCTTCAAGAAATGTTTCTTGACTAAGCTTTCTGACCAGTAATGGCTAAGGAGAACACTGCTGGGATGGTCTTCCAGTGACTTTTAAAAATAGAAGATAAGTAGTTTTCTGTAAGGTTTCTCTAACATTTAGAAGAGGGCTTTTGAAATGACTCACTTTGTTGAGATTGGGTTGAGGTTATTGCTCAAGAAATTAATTCCCTGAAGTTGTTTTCTGAGGTAGTAGATAATACTTTTATCTTTTCCCATCATTATCTCCCTCCCTCTGAATTCATGTGGCATGGGTGACTCTTAGAATCATGAAAAGAACAATGTAATTCACAGAATTCGACAATCATTGTTAAGAACTCATTACATATCAAGCAAAGAACTGAAGATGGGTAAACAGCCTCTCTT